AGATATATTTTATATTTAAAAAAAAAAAAAGGAAAAGAGAATCAAATCGAATCAAGTCTAAGGAGAGTTTGCTTAGCAATGATCCCTATAAATATCTGAGGATCTCCCGTGAACTCATATAATCCCTCCAGGGGCTCCACCTCTCGCCAAATTTCGTATGTCTATCATATAAACGAGCTATAAGCTCTTCAGATCTCATAACATTGTTTAGTTCTTCAACCCTCTGGGGGGGACTAGTTGACTTCCAATGTCTAGGTATCACTGCCCTTGCAGCTGCGAGGATCGGGCCTAGAAGACCTTTTTTCAATACCGCGAACGAGCCATGGTGTAGAGACAGAAGAGCAACCTCAGGTGTCTCCAAACCATGGAGTCCCGTTAACTCTTGAGCTATCTCCAAGATTGATTTCCCATAGGTTCTTATTAACTGGCACGACCACCAGATATGCAACATTGTCCCGTCTTCCCCAAAACACCTCCAGCACAGCTTGGAGTTCTTAAGGTTCATCTTATATAGGTTATATGGACATCTATACCACCTTGTTAGTACTTTAACATTTCTTTCCTGGGTTAGGGCAGAGATACTTGATTTAAAGGTTAGAAAAAAGATCTTCTTCCATTCATCCTCTGTATATTTTTTCACCTCTGTACGCGTTTCAGGGGCAAGCCCCCTTCATCAGAATCATCAGAATCATGATTCTGATGAAGGAGGCTTGCCCCTGAAGCGCGTTAATCTTGGCTGACTGCGGTCAGTGGACGGTGATGTGATCGGAGGCTACCGTGTTACATAGTCCGGGGGATACCATCTTGGGTTAACAGACAGTGTGGCCTCTCGTTTGTTGTTAAAGCCTGATGAAAAAGTTTGTTTGTGAGTACCTTTATCCCTTGTTTTATTTATTGTAATAAACGATTTTACACATGGAGGTGGCGCTCTGTTCCCTTTTGTTTTCATATATTAGCCAAAGGCTGAGGCTGTTAACACACATACCAAAACATACCAATACGATCCACACTTGGGTAACTAAATATAATTTATCTGGAACCTCGGAAAGGGGTACTCAGGCTTAGGGGAGTGTCTCAAAGGGACAGTCACAACTCTTTCTGGATTATGCCTAGCACAGGTCAGGCAGGACACAGAGATTCGGACAGCAAAAGTAACAAACCCTGGAGTTATCCATATTTTACCTATACAGGTTGTCATTGTGTATTTGGACAAGTGTCCCGGTTCATGTGCTAGCTGCATCTCCATGGGAAACAGAGCCTTCAAGAGACACCATGGAGTCCCGCAAATCCACAGGCCCTGCTTATTAGGGGAAGCTCCTTCCTCCATAGTTCCTTTCCTTCTCAGGTGCCTGGATACACAGGCAGACTAAGGCTTCCTTGTCTCATGTGTCAAAGGCTGTACTGACAAATAGGAGAGCAGCCTGCTCGCTGCCTCATCCACTGCTCTGCTCCCTTCTCTTTCTCTTATACCTACTGTTGTATGGGCCTTTACTTTAAAAATAGCCACCTATGCAAAAGCACTAAGCAACCTCTCTATTAATTTGGTCCACCCAACAAGTCTCCCTGCACATGTCAGAAAGTTCCAAACCTTCCAGATAGGACCAAAATCATGTGCAATCCCAAAAGCATATCTGCTATTTGTATGGACATTTCCTTTCTTTCTTTTAAAACACATACAGACTGCTTCAAGTACATGAAGTTCAGCTTCCTTAGCTGACATGTGTACTGGTAAAAATAATTGTATAAGTATTTCTTTGTCTATTGTCACTATAAATCTCATGTGTGTGGGATCCCATCAGAGGTTTAATATTAGGATCTGTCAACAAAAGATTGTGTATATCTTTTCCTTCTAAAGGAGACTCTCTCGTGTGAGGACCGGTTCACACCACAAAGTCTGCGTTCCAGAGTGTTCGGCCTCTGGAGCGCACTGGAACGCAAACAGCCAGCCAGCTCCCTGCATTCAGGGGTGGGAGGGGGTGTGGTGGTGCATTGAAATCAATGGCACTGCAGCCACGCCCCCCGCCCGCAGTGCGATTGCCCGCACCCAGAACACAGACACATTTGCGATCTGCAAAAATAGTGCTTGCAGCATTTTTGCAGATTGCACTGGCCTGGAACACAGGCACTAATATGCCTGCATTCCAGGTGTTGGCGATCGCACTGCGGGCAGAAGGCGTGGCTGCAGTGCCATTGACTTCAATGCACCGCCATGCCCCCTCCCATCCCTGAATGCAGGGACCCGGCCAGCTGGCGTTCTAGAGGTCAAACGCTCTGGAACGCAGACTTTGTGGTGTGAACCGGCCCTAAAAGTCTGTCATTCAGCTTTCATTAACTCTACCCAGTCATTATAAACTAGCAATTGGCAAGTTTCATCATGAATATATATAAATCTAAACATAGAATTTTCTTGTAAAAAGTTCCCATTCCATTTCCGCCCACATTCCCCCCACATTTATAAGAAGAAAAATATCTGGAGTAGCTTTAGTGCATCTCTGGATTGTTACATTGGGAAGAGTTTGGACATTGACAACCAAATAAATTTGATATTTTCTAGCACTTGGTGGACTGAGTGTGGGACCACAAATGATTAGGAAATGTACCAAAACTATATGAACCATTCTCTCCAGTAAGAGAGCATATGCCGCTATAGCGCGCACAAATAGGGGAACCATTAATGGCCGAGTCCAAGGGCTCGGGGACATGAAAACAGGTTTATATTTGTCTCCATGTAGTTATGTGAGGAATTCTGTAGCATGTCCTAATAATTCATTACAGACTATAACAAAGGGAAGGTAATCACTGGGCAAGCTAAGAGTGGGTGCCTTTGCCAGCGTATTAACTATTTCCTCCATTAAGGGATATATAGCTCCATCAGAGCACCAACAATAATTTCTAGTAGTAGCTTAAAACAAAGGAGCTAAAAGACTGGTGACATATCTAGAACTATAAGATCTCATTTATCAGAAGCCCATAATTAATTTGGTATTTCCCTACTGTCCAATACAACAGTGGATTTTCTAGTGTCTGCCCTTAATGTACAGATCTGAAGGAAGTCTGCTGCTGCAGTCAACAGCTCCCTTATATCCAATAGGAATTGGGGAAGTGATAATTCCTGTAGGGGTATATTAAACGTTTGCTTTTCCCTAAAAGACCCATTGGACAAAAAGTATCACCTGTCAGGAGCTCTGGGGAAACTCTGCTTTTTAAAACAGTTCTGCCTGTACCAATGTGTACAAAGCAATCACATGTGGGCTGCCTATCTGTCTCCTAAAAATACAGCACGCTGTTTTCCTATTTCCATCTCATCTTCACTTTCATTGTCTGTCTTATATATTTCACATACTCTAATCCATCCATCCAAGGCTGTACACAAACTCCCATGGACTGAGTACACACTCCCTCGTTTTCTGGGAGCGGACTACAGTATTGCTTTCTAATTAACCCATAATCTCCCTGCTCATTTACTCAGACCTTTTTAAATCAACTTGCAATAACCTAATAACTTTAACAACGTTTCATAATCATATCTTTCTAATGTGTTTATATGGAAATGAGTGCTTGTGGAAGATCCTAGGCTCTTACCTGGGAGCTAAAGGGTGACACCTGCCGCATTGCTGGGGCTTCTTGTGCCACTAGTATGGTAGGAGATGTATCTAGATTTTGCAAACCTGCTCCCACTAGTGTAGCATACGAGGGAGGGACAATTTCATACATTTATACGGTACACACAGTCTTATGGAAGACACAGACTTGACCACACACACATTGATTACAGGACGCCCTGAACTGCTCACCAGAATGTAATCAAAAAGGCACACAATAGTCTGCCCAAGGCAGCCACAGTTCGTTAAGATAACTCAGCTCTACTTAATACAACAAATTAAAAGAAAAAAACTATTACAAAACTAATTGTAACTAACTTTTACTTCTAACCCCACAGATTCATCAAAATCCTCAATGAGCTCATTTAAATTAATACCTCTCTTCTTTAATTCTTGTGTTAGTTCCCAATTTAAAATCTTCCCTTCCTAAATGTACACAGTATTGTAAACCATTTATCGTGTAAAATACTCTGTTATCTTATCTGCCGTTGTTATATAACATGTAGTTTTATTTCTAAATGATGCTTTGCATAGTGTCTGAACAATCTTTCCCTATGATCCTGCACTAATGAACCCATAGACTTTAACATTGCTGAGGTATAATTTGCATACTAGGCCGTACCAGCTTTAGGTTGGGCTTGAGAACGGTTAGATCTAGCAGGGGGGGTTACCCCTACTTGAAATGGAGCAGGTCTTTGGGGAAGATTATCAGGCCCGGCGCTACCATATAGGCAGGTCAAGCAACTGCGGAGGGCGGAAAAATGCGACTGACCGCAAGATGGCCCGGCGGCTCTGATCACACCTGTCAGTGCTCCCTCTCTCTCCTGCCGGCCGCTGCAGCTTCAGAGTGGCCAAGTATGTTCCATCCTCCCCCCGCCGGCTACCTTGCACGCTGGGTCGAGTAGACAGTGAGAGGAGAGCTGCACTCACAGCCCTTCCTCTCAGCTGTAACAGGAGTTCTAGCACTGGTGACAGGTTCAATAAAGAGAACCTGTAACCTCCAAATGCTATCCCACAGCTTGTTAGCTAGCTCCTGTGTGATAGCAATAAAGTTAAGTGAAAAAAATAAAAATCCTTGCAATGTGCCCCCTCCCCGCCAACCAGCCCCCCCCCC